TCCGGCTGCCCCTTCGGGCACCCTGTCGGGTCTGTACCTTCCCTCGTTCTCCACGAACTTGGTGAGTGGAGCGGACCTGCAGGATGGGGGTGTTCACCAGTTCACTCCTGCGTGTCAGCGGGTGACCCACTGCACGGAGGCACGCACAGGCCGACACCTGGCCACGTTCTCGCGTCGGCCGGGGTCGAGTCTCTACACCCTGACCGTTGAGTCTCCTCCTGTCCCTGCGTCTGGTCAGGTGGCTGCGTTGGGTTAGGTACTTGCTGCTGCGTCCCGGTCAGGTCCTGAGTCTGCCCCCTGTTCTTGTCGCCTCCTGTCTCACGAGACTCTCCTGTGGCACCACCGTCTTGGCCACCCCTCCTTGCCCCGTCTTCGGAGCATGGCTTCCCGTGTCCTTGTCTCTGGTCTTCCCCAGTCTCTCCCTCCTCTCCCCTCCGGGCCAGGACCTTCCTGTGTCCCCTGTGTCGAGGGTCGCCTCCGGGCTACTCCTCACTCCTCCCACTTCCCCCCGACAGAGGCTCCCCTGCAGACGCTTCACATGGATGTGTGGGGCCCAGCCCCCGTCCGTGGGCAGGGTTACGAGCGCTACTTCCTGTTGGTGGTTGACGACTACTCGCGTTACACCACAGTCCTCCCCTTGCGCAGCAAGGGTGAGGTCACTGAGGTGCTGATCGACTGGATCCGCGCAGCTCGTCTCCAGCTCAGGAGGAGCTTCGGCTCAGACTTTCCTGTTCTGCGTCTGCACTCGGACAGAGGCGGAGAGTTCTCTTCTCGCCTTCTGCGAGACTACTGTCGTGCACGGGGGATCCGCCAGACCTTCACGCTTCCGGACTCACCACAGCAAAATGGGATTGCTGAGCGCCGCATTGGCATGGTCATGGATGTCGCTCGTACGTCCATGATGCATGCGGCTGCCCCCCATTTTCTGTGGCCGTTTGCAGTGAGGTACGCGGCGCATCAGCTCAACCTTCACCCCCGGGTCTCTCGGCCTGCGATGTCCCCAGCCTTGCTGTGGACGGGGAAGGTTGGCGATGCGTCTGTGTTCCGTGTCTGGGGATCTCGGGCGTTTGTCCGCGACTTGTCTGCGGACAAGCTGTCCCCTCGTGCTGCTCCCTGTGTCTTCCTTGGCTTCCCCACTGACGCCCGAGGGTGGCAGTTTTACCACCCCTCCTCTCGTCGTGTTCTGTCCTCCCAGGACGTCACGTTCGACGAGTCAGTCCCCTTCTACCGTCTCTTCCCCTACCGCACTCCTTCCCTCCCCCCTCCCCCGGACTTCCTTGTGCCGGTTCCCCCCCCGGTAGACCCCCTCCCCCCTCAGGTTCCTGCCCCCTCAGGTGTGTCCCAGGTAGACGCCGTTGACCCGGTCGAGGTTACTGGTGACTCTGGTGCTGCTGCGGGTGCTGAGCCTGGGGGTGCTGACTCTGGGGGTGCTGTGCGCGGGGGTGCTGAGCCTGGGGGTGCTACTGCTGGGGGTGCTGGGCCTGAGGGTGCTACTGCGGAGGGTGCGGAGCCTGGGGGTGCTGAGCCGGGGGGTGCTGTGCCTGGGGGTGCAGGGTCTGGGGGTGCTGAGTCGGGAGCTACTGAGCCTGGAGGTGCTGAGCTGGGAGCTGCTGAGCCTGGGGGTGCTGCGTCTGGAGCTGCTGAGCCTGGGGTTTCTCCTGCTGCTGCGTCTCGCCGGGAGCCCCTCTCTCCACAGGAGCTGCGCGAGTGGTTCGCTCGCCGCTGGAGGCGTGCTGCTGAGTCTGGAGGTGCTGCTGGAGCTGGACCTGGAGCTTCTTCGACCGTCGTGGGTGCGGGTGCTGCCGGTCCCGGAGCTGCTGGACCTGCGGGTCCTCCTGGAGCTGGAGCTGCTGAGGGCGCTGGTGCTGAGCCTACTGCTGTTGGTCCTGCCACTGGAGGAGTGGGTGGCGCTGGTGCTGTCGCTGAGGGTGCTGGTGCAGACCCTGCTGCGTCTGGAGCTGCCGCGCGGCCTCGGCCGTACTTCGTTCCGCTCTTGCAGCAGGTTCTTGGTCTTTCTCCTCCGGTAGAGGGTCCACCGCCTGTCCAGTCGCAGTCCCTGCTGGAGCCTTCCTCTCCACTGCCTGCTCCCTCTCCTTACACTGGTCCTACTGGAGGTCTTGCTGAGCGTCGTGAGCCTGCGTCTCGTCCCGCGTCGCCTGTTCGTGCTGCTCGCGCTAGTGGTCGCAGTTCGCGTCAGCGTCCTCCTCCTGTCCCTGGCACGCACCGGATGTCTTTGCGTCCGTCCACTGCTCCTCTGCGTGCCCCTTTGCCTTCTCCTCCTGAGTCCTCTCTTCCTGCGCTTGCCGACCCTGAGTCGGACTCTCTTCGTGCTGCCAGTCCTACTGTCACGTGTCTGCTTGCTACTGTCATCACTGACCCCTCTTTTGAGTCCACTGCTGCGTCTGCTCTAGTCGCTGAGCTAGTCGACTTTGCTGCTCGCTGTCGTCTCGACTACGCTGCTAGTCTTGTTGCTGAGTCTGCGTCTGTCTGTCCTCCGTCCGTCGGGGGTGAGTGTGCTCTTAGCACGGACGTCCTAGAGGACAGGCAGGAGGAGTTACAGTGTCTAGCGGCTGCTTCACCTCATCTCGCGTCTGTACTGCTTGCCCCTGAGGGAGACCCGGATGCACTAGACATCCCGACTCCGCGTTCTTACGCGGAGGCCGTAGAGGGTCCCTACTCCTCTCAGTGGCAGGCAGCTATGGATGCAGAGATGGCTTCCTGGAAGTCCACAGGCACCTATGTTGACGCGGTTCCCCCTCCTGGGGCGAACATCGTCAGTGGCATGTGGATCTTCAGGGTGAAGCGGCCGCCGGGCTCTCCACCTGTCTTCAAGGCACGGTACGTTGCTCGTGGCTTCAGTCAGCGGCAGGGAGTTGACTACTTTCAGACCTTCTCTCCCACCCCGAAGATGACTACTCTTCGGGTGCTGCTGCACATAGCCGCTCAGCGCGACTACGAGCTTCACTCTCTCGACTTCAGCACTGCGTTCTTGCAGGGTAGCCTGCACGAGGAGATCTGGCTTCGCCGTCCACCTGGCTTCACTGGGACTTTCCCTCCTGGCACCCAGTGGAGCCTCCGACGGCCAGTCTACGGTCTCCGCCAGGCACCGCGTGAGTGGCACAACACACTGAGGACTACGCTTGCGGCTCTTGGGTTTGCTCCTTCTACTGCTGACCCGTCGCTGTTTCTTCGCACCGACACTTCCCTGCCGCCGTTCTACATCCTCGTGTACGTCGACGACTTGGTCTTTGCCACAGCGGACACTGCTGGACTCGCCTACGTGAAGTCCGAGCTGCTGAAGAGACACACGTGCACAGACCTGGGTGAACTGCGCAGCTACCTTGGCTTGCAGATCACTCGGGACAGAGCACGCCGCACCATTACCTTGACTCAGTCACACATGGTGCAGCAGGTCCTTCAGCGCTTCGGCTTCACGTACTCCTCGCCTCAGGCCACTCCTCTGCCTACTCGCCACTCACTCTCAGCTCTGCCTTCGGATGAGTCCGTAGAGTCAAGTGGCCCGTATGCAGAGCTTGTTGGCTGCCTCATGTACCTGATGACCTGCACACGACCTAACCTTGCATACCCTCTGAGCATTCTTGCACGCTATGTTGCTCCTGGGAGACACAGACCGGAGCACATGGCTGCAGCGAAGAGGGTATTGCGCTACCTGTGCAGTACGTCGGGCATGGGGCTAGTGCTTGGAGGGCGGAGTCCAGTGGTCCTTACCGGCCACGCGGACGCTTCTTGGGCTGACGACCAGGCTACGCAGCGGTCGTCACAGGGTTACACCTTCAGCCTTGGTTCCGGCTCTGTCTCGTGGCGGTCTACTCGCTCGTCTTCGGTTCTCGGCTCCAGTTGTGAGGCTGAGATCTACGCCGGGGCCATGGCTGCACAGGAGCTTCGCTGGCTCACCTACCTGCTGACTGACCTTGGAGAGCCGCCTCGTTCTCCTCCAGTGCTGTACGTAGACAACAAGGCTATGCTGGCCTTGTGTCGAGAGCAGCGCTTGGAGCACAGAACGAAGCACATTGCTCTCCGCTACTTCCTTGCTCGTGAGCTGCAGCAGCGTGGTCAGTTGCGACTTGCGTACGTGGCCTCTGAGGCCAACACTGCTGATGTGTTCACCAAGGCACTCGTGCCTTGTGACCATCAGCGCTTTTGCACCCAGCTGGGTCTTGTGCCTGTCTTGCCTCACTTGCTCTCCTCTTGACTTCACTTGTACTGTGACATATATATATATGCCTGCTCTTGTTTGTCTAGTTTTATATATATATGTGTCTGTACTCCTGCATGTGAACTGGCCTCTGGCCCTACTCTTGTGCTCGGACTGTGTGGTGACTTTGTGATCCACCCTGAGCTTGCTTTGCTTTGCTTGACTGGTCTTGTGACCCCTTGTTCTCCCCCACTTTGCCTATGGGGGTGTGTCAGATTTATATGACATAGTTGCTGTAGGCTATAGTGGGGTAGCACATATGGGGTACAGGGTTTCTAGGGTTGCATTTGTACCCAATCTTTCCTTAGTCATCCCATTCCTGCTTACTCATTTCACAGCAAATGGCCACAAGGCTAGTCCACATGCAGAGTTATATAATCAAGAACAAACAATACAGTGATCACAACCTAGCAGGGGTAAGCATGCATGCATATGTATATAGATCACAGTACAAAGTCACGAAGTAAGCAGGTCAGGTAAAGTAGGTTCAAGGCCTAAAACAGTACAGAAATGCTAATGATCACCAAGCTGAAGTGCCTTTGTAAATATATCAGCAGTGTTGGCCCAAGTAGCCACGTAAGCAAGACGAAGCTGACCACGCAGCTGCAGATCTTGAGCAAGGAAGTAACGCAGAGCGATCTGCTTCGTCCTGTGCTCAAGTCTGTGCTCCTGACACAAGGTAATCATGGCCTTGTTGTCAACGCACAGCTTTGGAGGAGAACGATGTTGGAGTAGGCTAGAGCTCGCTCTTGTCTTTATTTTGGTGTTCTTATATTATTTCTCCATGCTTAGAGAGAGTTACGCATTCAGGTTCATTTTAGGTTCATTTCGTAGTTCTTAGTACAAACCAAACACGCCCTAGGTTCAATTAGGGTTTCCAACCCTCTCTTTTGTATCTCGACATTTTTTTCATAGTGCAACTTTTTCGACCATCCATGGCTCCTCTCATCTTAAATCCGGCAGCCCAAATTGCACAACTTTTAAAAGGTTGACGCAAGGGTGTTTTGGTGGTCTGGGTTTTGGCGAAACATTCCAATTCGCGTTTTTCGTTTTTTTCGCCAAACCCAGCCCGCCCTCGTATTTCGTTTTGGGGATTGGTTCGGTTCCCAAAAGTCCCAAATTGCAGGTTGGCTTTTTTTCAAACCTAGCAAACACTAGTTTGTCAAGATTTAAAAGCTTGACCCGTGCGGCCCGCAATTTGGGCCGCGGGCTTTAACATAGTTTCATATTTATCCGTATTTCTTAGAAAATCTCCAGCCCTTAGGCCATTTCCGCGCTACTTAGCTAGACGATTTTTTATTATCTCCTTTCTTTCCTGTCACTCTTTAAAAAAAAAATCGCATTTTTTGTCACATTATACTCTCGCGAATTCCTTAATCCAGTCCGTAGCGCGTCGCCATACCGCCCTTATCACCCTCCTGCGCCTTCCCATTCGTCGCGCCTCCTTCTCCTCCTGTTCCTGGTGGTCGCGCGCCCATTCCCACCCAAAGCACGCTCTGCCGTCCCCCCCCTTCCCCCGTCCCGTCGCGCGCGCATTGCGCTCCCGCAGCGGCGCGCACTAAGCACCGTCCAGCAGAGCGCGCGCCTGCCCTTCCTTACGGCGTGCCCTGCCCTTCCTCAATCCGCCCCTTCCCTCACCCTCCTCCTCCTTCCCTCTTTCCTTCGTGCTTCCCCCACTACCTCACCTCTTCCTCCTATTTTCTCTCCCCATCTGCTACGCCTCGCAGCTCCTTGTGGCGCGCCTTGCCCTTCCCACAATCCGCCCCTTCACCCTCCTCCTCCTCTCCTCTCTCCCACTAGTTCCCTCTCCACTATCTAACCCCTCCTCCACCTCTTTTCTCTCTTCATCTGCTGCAGCTGGTAGCTGATTGTATTGTGTAGCTGTTGTTCCTCCACACCTTCCCTCCTTCTCAACATCCTCCTCTCAACTGCACAAATGCAAACTCTTCACAATTCTCCCTCCTCCTTTTGTTTCTCCCTTCAGCGGCACAGCAGCGGACTTCTCTGCCACTATCCCTCCTCCTTTGGTTTCTCCCCTCATCGGCGCAGCAGCAGACTACTCCGCCACTTTCCCTCCTCCTCTGGTTTCTCCCCTCATGGGCGCAGCAGCAGACTACTCCGCCACTTTCCCTCCTCTGGTTTCTCCCTTCATCGGCTTAGCAGTAGACTACTTCGCCATCTTCCCTCCTCCTCTCGTTTTCTCCTCGCATCGACTCAGCAGCAGACTACTTTCCCTCCTCTTCTTGTTTCTCCCCTCGGCAGCTCAGCAGCAGACTACCCCGCCCTTATTCCTCCACCTCTTATACCTCTCCCCACATCTACTCTGCAGTTGTTTCCTCCTCCTCATGGTGACCTCTCTCGCCCTCCCCTCCCTCCCTCTGCTGTTCCTTCAGCTTGCGCCTGATGGCAGTGCAGTCAACTTCCCCAGTTGGCTGAACTGTCTTGAGCGCATGCTGTTTGGCACCCTAGTGAGTGGCTTTAACCTCTGGTTTGTCACTCAGCAGAATGGTTTTGGCGCCATTCCTACCTCTCCCTCTGCACCCACCTCTTCCTCCTGTGACCCCTATGCTGGTGGCTTCCGTACTGCCATTGCTTAAACTGAGCGGCTTGTGGCCACGACGCAAGCCACCGCCACGGGTGCTCCTGACAATGCTGCTGCCCGTGACTTAGCTCGTATTCTTGCTGAGTCCCTTGAGAGCACCCGCAAGCACCTCACTGCGCACCTCGCTGCCCCTAATCCTCGTTGTGCCTCTACGCCCCTTTCCTCTGCTCCATCTCACTCTGACCTTCTTGCTGACTTGCATGTTGCCAACGCATGTGCCTGTCAGGTCATACCTGCCTGCCTCCCTCCAACTCTTCTCGCTCAGTGCTCACATATCCGCTCTGCCAAGGACCTTCTCGGCTATCTCACCGAGCGCTATCAGTCACAGACTCCCATCGGCGTCATTGCCCTCTTACGCGAGCTCACCTCTCTTCGTCTTGCTGACTTCACCACCATGGCAGACTACATCGCTCGTGTGCAGACGCTGTCCTCCTAACTTGCCGCTCAACAGTTTGAACTTTCCGATCATGTCTGCGGTGCCCTCCTCCTCACAGGCCTCACTCCTGAATACAATGTTCATGTCACCTTGTATGGTGAGCGCCCCGCCGACCAGTGGTCGTTCTCCCGTGTCTCTGCCTTCCTCCTCTAGGGAGAACTCAACCTCCGCAGCTGCCCTCCTACTGTCCCTCCTGTCACACCCTCTTCTACCCCTCCTCCTCTCTCCACCACCACTGTCGCCACTGCTTCCTCTCACCCTCGCAACACTTTCCCTCCTTGCAACTACATCATTCGCCAAGGGCCCCGCAAGGGTCACCCCTGCAGTTGCACCAATCATCCCACCTCCTCCTGCTTCCAGAAGCTCACCGATGAATGGTTCCTAGCTGGTAACACCATTCGCCCTCCCAACTGGCTCCAACTCTCTCGTCAGCATCGCCAGTCCTCCGCCCAGGTGGTCCTTGCGGCCGCCGACTCTGGTGCAGGTGCTCAAACCTCTGCTCTCCGTGTGACTATGCAAAGTCAGGATAGCATTCCGGGGGCTTCTCCCCTTATGGAGCCTCGTTTTGCCATGATCTTCACTCCTTCTATTAATGGCAATGATTCTTAGTATCTTGGTCCCACAGCTGCTGCTCTTTCCCTCCCTCGCACTCTTGAGTTTGTTCTTGACAGTGGTGCTACTGACTCTGTCTTTCGTGACGCTGGTGTGCTTCGCTCTTTTCCCCGTCCCCTCTCCATTCAAGGGGCTGGGGATACCATGACCATGACTTGCACCGCTACCTCTTCTCTTCCCTGTCGTGCCGCCCCCTCTGATGCTGTGACTGACCTCTATGTTCCTTCCTGCCGCCACAACCTTCTCTCTCTCTCCGCTCTTCAACGTCTTTGTGTGCGAGCTATCTTTCCCGAATGTGACTCCTACTGTGATCTCTATCATCACAACCGCCATCTTGCACACTTCACTCTTTCTCCTATCACTCACCTCTACACTCTTCGTGTCTCTCTTCCCCCTTCTGCCCATCATGCCTCTTCCGCTTCCGCCCCTCCTGTTACCTCCTGCGACTGTCGCACTCTTACTCAACCCACCCTTCTCTTTCATCATCGACTTGGCCACCCTAACTTTCCCCTTCTTCGCAGTATGGTCTCTTCTAAGCTTCTTCATGGCCTCCCTCCCTCTCTACCCCCCCTTACTCCCTCTCCTGCCCCTCCATGCACCCCATGTGTCCAGGCCAAACTCTCCTAGTCACCTCATCCCTCTTCTCCCTCTCCCCAACCCCTTGACCTTGTTCATATGGACCTCTGGGGTCCCTCACCTACTACTTCTCATCAGGGTCATCGATATTTTCTGCTTTTGGTTGATAACCACTCACGCTTTGCAACTGTCTATCCCCTCCGTGCCAAATCTGACGCTCCCTCCCTCATCATTCGTTGGGCTGAGCAAGCTCGTCTACGCTTTAAGCGTCCTGTCGCGTGCTTCCATTCTGTTGGTGGTGGCGAATTCTTTAATCACTCTCTCTCCTCTTACTATGCCTCTCATGGCATTCACCAGACCTCCACTCTTCCTCACTCCCCCGAGCAGAACGGGGTTGCTGAGCGTCGCAATTGCACTTTCATGGAAATTACTTGCTGACTTCTCACCCATGCCTCTGCTCCCCACTCCCTTTGGAGCTATGCTCTTCACCATGCCACTTTACTCTCTAACCTCCACCAACATCCTCTTCGCCCCACTACCACCCCCTTCCAGCTTTGGACTGGCCGCCAGCCCTCTGTCCACCCTCTTCGGGTATGGGGGTGTGTCGCCCATGTTCTTGTAAATCCAGCAGACCGATCTCGTCTGGGTCAGAAGCTCGCTCCCAAGACGCAACTCTGTACATTCCTTGGCATCAACTCTGATTGTCCTGGTTATCTTTTCTACACCCCCTCCTCTCACCAACTTATCCGCAGCCATGACGTAATTTTCAATGACACCCACTCTCCATTCCATTCTCCCCCACCCGCCCCTCCTGTCCCTTCTCTTCACTGGTCTGATTTTGATCAGCCGTCGTCTGTCCTCCCCTCCCCTCCTCCCCCCCCTCCCATCCCGCCTCTTCCCGCCCCTCCCCCCGCACCAGCCTCTACTGCCCCCCCTTCCGACATCATCTCTGGCGCCTCCCCACCCGCCTCTTCTTCTTCAACTCCCCTCCCTTCCTCACCTCCATCTTCCTCCCAACCCCCTTCGCCCGTACCCATCCCCCCCCCCTTCCCCGTGCCTTACTCGCTCCATAACTCGCGTCCTTTCTAATTTTCAGCACACTGCTCTTTTCACTCGTCTATCTCCATCCCAAGATGTGAATCTTCTTGAAAATCGCTTTGAGGAGCTCTTCACCATTCATCATGTTTCTCCTCTCCGATGTGTCACTGTCGGTGACTTCAGCAATTCTCCCACTCTTCTCTCTGTTGACACCGCTACCATTCCCACCCCTCAGTCCTACTCCGAGGCCGTGTCGGGCTTGTCAGAAAGAACAAGAGTGCAAAAGAAGAATGATGAAAGAGGGGTTTCACTAGCAGCAGTTGGGATACATATAGCAAACCCTAATTGGGTTGTACTCGCTATAGAGCACCCCACTACAGGCTAGGGTTTAGGGTAATATGGTATCACGAGCCTAGGTTGCCACCTAGGACCGCTTACTACTACGGGCCCACTATTCCGCTAGAAGCGCCCTCGTGCGCCCTACCTTACGTGCGCCCTCGTGCGTCTGTCTCTGCTCGTGCGCCCTCGTGCACCCTTTTCTGCTAGTGCGCCCTCGCGCGCCCCGCCTTTCGTTCTGCCTACGCGCCGTCCTGCAGCCCTCGCGTTGCCTCCTGCTGCCCTAGGCCAGTGGGCCGCCCCTGCAAGCTAGTACGACCCTCGAGCCGCCCCTGCAGGTCCGTCAGGCCCCCGAGCCGCCTCTGCAGGCCCGTCAGGTCCCCGAGCCGCCTCTGCAGGCCCGTCAGGCCCGAGAGCCGCCCCTGCAGGCCCGTCAGGTCGGCGCGCTGCCCTTGCAGGACCACGCCGCATGCGCGCAGCTTCTGCTCGCCCGCGCGCCGCTCCTGCAGGCTCGCGCCGCCCGCACGCAGCCTCTGCAGGCCCGTCAGGCCAGCGGGCGACCCCGTCAGGTCGCAGTCGTGGCCCCGTCAGGCCGCAGTCGCGGCCCCGTCAGGCCGCAGTTGCAGCCCCGCCCTGCCGTTGACGTGGACGCGGCCGCGCCCTGCCGTGACGCGGCCCCTCCAGCCCTGCAGCTGACGCGGCCGCGTCCTCCTATTGACGCGGCGTCGCCCCTACCCGCCGCGTCGCCCTGCCCGCCGCAACGCCCCTGCCCGCGGCGTCGCCACTGCCCGCCGCGTCGCCCTGCCCGCCGCGTCGCCCCTGCCCGTGGTGTCGCCCTTGCCCGCCGCATCGCCTTGCCCTACCACACGCCGGGCCCCAAGAGTAGCCGCCCCTGGAGCAACCGCCCCTGCAGCAGCCGCCCCTGGCCCCTGGAGCGGCCGCCACTGCAGTAGCCGCCCCTGGCCCCTGGAGCGGCCGCCCCTGCAGCAGCCGTCCTAGGCCATTGGAGCAGCCGCCATTGCAGGAGCCACCTCTGGCCCCTGGAGCAGCCGCCTCTGGAGCAGCCGCCTCTGGAGCAGCCGCCCCTGCAGCAGCGTCCGTCGCGGCCCTGTCCCTGCCCTGCACCAGCCGCCGTTGCGGCCCGGTCCCGCCCTGCAGCAACTGCCGCGGAGCTTCCTGCCTTGGTCGCGGCCCCGCCCTTCCGCTGTAGCGGCCCCGCAGTCGCCTCCGTCGTGCGCTTGCCCTTCCCACCACTAGTGAGCACTGCCCTGCCCGTGCTACTACTGCTGTTAGTGCTGCTGCTACTGCTGCTGCTGCTCCTGCTGCTCTTGCTTCTACTACTGCTCCTGGCGTGGCCAGATGCAGCTTTAGGGCCGTCCGCGTGTGTCCGTCACGCCCCAGCAGCTTCGTGAGTGGTACGCCAGTTGGGGTTGTCGGGGTGGCAGTAGTGGGCGTCGTCTTGGAGTGGGTAGTTCGGGAGTTTCTTGTAGTGGCCCTGTGTAGCAGCAGCGTCGTCCGCGCGAGACTCTTTCGCCCCAGCAGCTTTGTGAGTGGTACGCTCAGAGTACAGGGTCGCTGAGTTCTGCTCGCTGCCCGTACGTTATTAGCACGGGTGTCCGGACTGGTCAGCCTTGCGGGAGACGTGGTCATACAGAGTCCCGCTGCTTCGCCGGTCTGAGCGACGCTTGGCGTACAGAGTTTGGCGACGCCGCTGAGCTCCCCGACTGGGTGGTGCTACTTATGCAGAGGGTAGATATCTTTGCTCTTGACTATGATGCTATTCTCACTGCAATGTATGCATTGTCTACTACTGCCGAGGGAGCCTGTCACCTGTGTGTGCCGCCTGACCCCGGTATCCAGTCTGCTGCACCCCTAGCTCCACTCCCACGTCACCCCCACAACTCCACTCCCCGCGGCTCCCACACCTCCACCCCCCTCAGCAGCAGCTGCAGCAGTGGGAGACGAACAAGGAGGAGGGGAACACCCACACCGCGCACCCCCATGCTTGCTACCCCACACCCCCCACCACCGCGGAACGCACGGCGGCACGGGAGGAATGGGCAGCACAGGGGGGGGGGGGGGCGCGCGCTCCTCTTCAGGGCGCCGAAACGGACAGGCAGGGGGGCGCGCGCGGTTTCCCAGGGCGCTGCGACACACAAGCGGGAGGCGTGCACGGCTCCCTTGGGCGCCGCGACGGACGGGCAGGGGCCGCGCGCGACTCCCTAGGGCGCCGCGACGGACGGGAGGGGGCCGCACGCTACTCCCCAGGGCGCCGCGACGGACAGGAAGGGGGGCGCGCGCGGCCTGCAAGGCGACGCGACGAGACGGGCGGGGGCTGTGTGCGGGTCCCCACTGCAGAAAACCGCCGCTCGCCCCGAGCTCCCGGCGGGATGAAGAAACCCTAAAAAATTTCGCCGCGGCAGGAAGAAGATGTCGCG